GAGAAGAAACAGAAGATGAAGACGAAGAAATCAATGATGAAATCCGGTAATGATGTCCCCTTCCACGTAATTCATTTTTATCTGTTGTCATGTTCATAGTCTGTGGGAAAGCGGTTGGAAAGAAAGGTACTATCAGTCAAAATTCGAGGTTCCTTTGAGTGATCAAGTATTTCGCAAGAAAGTCGCTCATGCTTATGTCGAAGGCTTATGTTGGGTGTTGAAATATTATTATCAGGTGATATTTTTTAATTTCAAACACACTGATTCTAATTTTTCCTTAAGGGTTGTCCTAGCTGGACTTGGTTTTATCCGTTTCATTATTCTCCTTTTGCGTCGGATTTCACCAATATTGGTGACATGAAGATTGAATTTCCAAAGGACACCCATCCGGTAGGTTGTTGTATATTTCTGTTAATTGGTTTTTAATGGTCGATTTTATTTAATCATTGTTCTTCGTTTTTAATGGTAATTTTTCATTTTGTTCATTTAGGTTGCACCTTTAGAACAGCTAATGAGCGTTTTGCCTGCAGCAAGCAGGGCACATTTGCCACAGCTCTGGGCGGATCTGATGATCAGAGAAGTATGTGACGTATAAGCTGAAATTTTCTGTTTAGAGGCATAGAATCAGTCAGTCGTCTGGTTAGCATAAACATATCATTTTCCAGGTTCTTTGTATGAAAAATGTCAAATCATAATTATTACAGGTATAGGTACTCTTCAGTACAGATTTAAGGTTTTCAGTTCTTAAATAGTCTTCACCTTTTTAACATTGTAATTGTGTAGTTATAAAGAATCAGACGAACCGAACAGAACTTTTCCACATAAGTTTTATTAATTCAAATGCCAACATTTATGTTAGACTTATTGCGCCATTTATTTTGCGTTGGACTTATTATTGCCCAGCGCTGTTTGGGAACCTGAAGTAAATCCTGCGATTGAAAAAGTTGGATGGACAATCTCAGACTTGCGTCATTCCATAAAGCTCTAAATTGGCCCGAAAGTACGAAAAGAGTCCACGACTACCTAGATTATAGTGTTATCTTCTATCCAAGCCCTGCACTTCTGCAGCCTTCCAGTGAAGCACTTGCAACACATCGGCCACACTTTCAAACTACTGGGACGTGCGTGTAACTGAAGGACTTAGAAGTTTGGGATTTTTTGTGATGTGTGTCGTAAAACGACTGTGAATTTGGGCGGTTCGAACCTAGCTAATCCAGCTCATCCTTTTTGCCCTCGCC